AACCCTCGCAGCAGATGTCAGTGCGGGCACTCTAAGCTGCAAAATGGCCGCTAGACTAGTCTGCATATGCGATGGTGCGTATTTTGCAATTCAATGGGCGGCCATTTGCCATTTGCATAGGCACTCATGTATGTATAGCCCATGTAATTTCCTCTCTCTCTATCTGTGTGTGTGTGTGTGTGTGTGACAGGACACAACAGCCGTTAAGCGGCTTTCGCTTTTGCCTTCCTGCCATCGACAAAAAACAATGCAATAATGCAAAAAAAACTTAAACAAAACGACAACAAAAACAAATCAAAAGGCGCAACCGGAAAAATACCCTGTAGTCAGTCATTAAATGCATATTTCATCCGCGCTAAGAAGCAGAATAGTTTATGTTAAGAATTTAACTGTTTTTTTTACACATATAGCTATCAAGATATCATAGATATATAAGGGGGGACAGACTAGGAGATATCCAACATTCTAGCTTCCTTCTATGCATTCGTACACACAAACAGACACACAATGTGTCTTACAAACACTTACATGCAAACCAAGTTCATCTCTTACCCATTTTCAATGGATGCAGAATATAAACATATTTATATATACCATATGTATACCTATTTATACCGTCAGCTATGTCTACATAAAAATCTGTACGTTCGGATTGGCATTATGCTTGGTTATCATGGCAAGCTGTCGGCGAAAATTTCACAAACAGAAGCGTGGGAAATGGGTGGATATGGGTGGAATAAAATGCTCCACGTAGAAGAAGTTTATGTTCGGCTGCTGAAACTTCTTGTCAAAATGGCAAATAAAAAGCATGGAAAATGGCAAATTTAAAGAAACCATGCAGTACCTGCAGATACCCTCTTTTAAGGCATTTTACGATTACAGGGTAATACCAATAAATGTCTGGCTGCACCATTCAGCTGACAGCGGCCCAGTTGGCGCGCCCGCAGAACCACACAGCCACGTTGATAAAAAGTGTGTGAGCCTTTTTTTTGGTTTTTATTTTTTGTTACCAAATAAGCGACGCATCATCTCAGCTTTTCATTAACAAAGTGCAGTTTGCCAGTTGCCAGTTGCCAGTTGCAAGCTGAAGTTGATTTCCTCGGGGTGTTGACGCTGCAAAACTTTTGCCAGTGTTGTGAATGGGTTGCCGGGCATTGTGGGGCTGTAGGCGATGATGGGGTTTGTTGCGAGCTGCGAGCTGCGAGTTGCGAGCTGCGAGTTGGCGCTTTGCACATTGTCGTTGCTTCGTCTGTTTGTTGACAATGAATTTAGATAAACTTGCGAAATTCGAAATGCAAACAGCATTCGCATTTGCATAAATTTATAGCACTAGCCAACACCCCCCCTCCCCCTCTCCGCCGTCTCCCTTAAACGACCCGCCGCCTCCGCGTTGCCAATCCATCTCTGCTTCAGCCCCTCTGGCCCGCTTTGGATCGGGCCAACCCCAGAAGCTTATGCATTCACACAACGCCGCTTAATGCCAGAGTAAACGCAGCGGCGACAAAGATGACGACCAAACTTGTGCAGCAACTTTAACGAGCCCTCCAGCCCCTGTCCCCAACAAGCGCGAACACCCGCGCACCCCCGCACCCCCGCACGCCCGTCAACCCCAAACCCCGGCCACGCCCACTTCCCAATTGCCCCGCAGTGCAACTTTGGGAGCGCAGCAAAGCGCAAAGCAAACTTTACGCTGCTTTTGTATTTCAAAAAGCTTAAATTGAACGCTGTTGAAATTCCTTAAGGGTCTCTCCCCCACTTTGCTCATTTTCCCTGTCTCTCTATCTCTATGTTCCTCTGTCGCTCCCCACTTGGCCAAGTCATTTTCATTTGCTGGCCAGGGTGCGGTGCGGTGCGGGGCTGGCTGTGGGTAAACCGGCTGTGGGTGCGGGGCCTGCTTTAGTAGCTGCTAGTAATTGCAAAGGTTTCGCAGCCGTTTGCAGCAGACAAATTAAGTTGCCTTCAACTTTACCTTTAGCTTTGCCTTTGCCATTGGCTTAAACCGACCGCCCTATGCCCAGCATCGGGCAGATCATTTTTGCTAGCTGCTGCCACTGCTGTTGGCCACGTTTAAGCATCAAATGCGATTTGGCTTAATGGTTTGCAACATTAAAAGTGCTCTCTCTCTTTCTCTCTCTCTCTGTCTCTCAGCCATTATTTAAGATATATTCTGTAAAGCACCCAACAACAGCAACAGGCGGCAACAAGCAGCTCAGACACTTCATTTAATTAGCCAAATTGAGAGACAATCTAAGGGAGAGCGAGAGAGTTTGGACGAGAGAAAAAGAGAGAGAGAGAGAGAGACAGAGAGAGCTTGGGGAAAGAGAATAGTTAACAGTGCGACATGTTTAGCGATTGGCCAAAGGCCACCTACGTGTAAGCAGTTAATGGCCATGGAATTTCAGTTGAAAGCAGCAGCAGGCAGAAACAATCGTGACATGGACAGGACTATAAGATATCTCTTACCATTTCATAGACAATGCCCGTGGTGTATCTCTATATATAAAGCTATTTGTTCTGCCTGACTGACTGACTAACTTACTGATTGGTATTCAATGCACAGCCCAAAACCGTAAGAGCTAGGAAGCGGAAATTTTGTTTATGTGAGAGGGTTCACGCTAAGATGCGGTTTAGGGAAGTCCACCCGCAAGTGTGGAAAAATCGTAAAAAACTTATGAAACTTTTTTGTTTACAATCCGATCGGCCTTAAACTCATTTTTTAAGATCATTGCTTAAGTTCATTTGAGGAGTGTCTCACAGTTTTAGGTGAATTCATGCCTCCATGGTGGAAATGGCGGTCAAGGATTTGCTGGGTAATGTAATGGGCTTAAACTCATTCCTAAGAATCTTAAGAAAATTCATTCGAGACGTACCTCACCCTTTTTGCAGAATTCAAGCTTCTTCGGTAAAAAATTCGGATCAACGTTTTTTTGGTGAAATTTTCAATTATGTCCGATTTGCTTGAAACCTAATTTCAATTTAATGAATACGTGTTTCAGCGGTTTTGGCAATTCCATAAAAAATGTTCGTTGAAAGTTTTTTGTTTTTCTGAAAATTCATTTGAGACGTGTTTCACACTTTTCGCCAAATCTGCCCTTCAAAGATGGAATGGGCGATGCTTCCCGAGTAAGCTCATTCGCAAAGAGCCATAAGAGAAATCATTGGAGGCACTTTTCGGAAAATCTAAGTTTCGATGGAAAATGCGCCCTAGGGTCTACGATTTTTTGAGGGAATCTCTAAGTTTCGTCCAATCGGTCTTAAATTTACTTTCAAAGAAGTTCCACTGTGAAAATTTAGAGGAAAACTCTTGCAAGCAATTCTTTTGCTATAATACGTTTTTCGAAAAATCCACCGCTATTGTATTCAAAATGCGGGCCAACGTTTAATTGGGCAAAGTTTAGGGCGTAAGCCCATTCGCAAGGATTGTGAAGAAAATTCAGTTGAGACGTGTTTTACAATTTTCGAAAAATTAAGGCGTTCTCGGTGGATAATGCCGGTCGAAGATTTTTTGGGCGAAGTTTTAAGTTTCGTCCGATCGATTTAAAACTTATTTTCAAGGACCTACATAAGAAGTTAGAGCTCCAGCTGCACTCCCAATTTTAAGAAAAAAACATATTCTTAACTGATGCTCTACTACTCGATTCTCATGAATTGAAGTAAGCCCCAGCCTTAGGCTTCACTTCATGTAGAGGAGGCGCCGGCAGCAATATTGGAGGAAGCGACTTTAACTATGGAGAAGACGGCGGCTTTACCATCCGTTCGGCTTCAAAATCATTTTCAACGATATTTGTGAAAATTAATTTGTGACATGTTTCACGATTTTCGGAAAACTCCTCCCTCTTGGATGACAAATGCCGGTTGATAATAGTACGCCTATAATTTGATTGTCCATGGGTAAAAAAAAAATATCTAAAATTTTGAGCACAAAGCTAACCACGGGCAAAGCCATGTAATACTCGCTGTGTACGTACATATTCGTTTTCCATAATTCTATACCTAATTTACTGTTCGTCCAGTTTGATTGACTGATAGATTCACAGACTGACTGATTCCCAAGCTAATTGACTGACTGTTCATCCTGATTGCGTGACTGACTGATTGACAAACAAACTAATTGAATGGCTGCTAGTCTTCGCTAATTTGCTGACTGAATAACTAACCCACTGATTGACTGACTGACTGATTAACTGACTGACTTGCTGATTGACTAACTAATTGACTGATTGTTCTTACCGACTGTTTGACTAACTAAAGGACTGACTGAGTTAAGGATTGATTGATTGATCAACTTATCTACTAACTGACCGATTGACTGACTGATTGAGTGATTGACGAACCGATAAATTAACTAATTGACTGTCTCCTCGTCCCGAACGATTAACTGACTGATTAACTGACTCACTTATTGGCTGACTGATTGACTAGCCAATAACTTATACACTAATCGACTAACTGGCCGACAAATTGATTGACTAACTAACTAACTGATTACTGCTAGTCCTGACTGATTGACTGATTAACTATTCGCCCTGACTATTCATCCTGACTGATTGACTAAGTAATTTACTGTCCGTTAGTCCCAACTGATTGACTGATTGATTAACTGCCTGACTGCTTATTGATCTTAATACAGCGCAAACCTTCAGAGCTAGAAAGCTTCTTGCTACCTTTTTTAATTTTACAATTTTTTAAAATATTGTAAAAATTTATTGTGTGCTTTATATGATCGGCTTTAAGATCAATTTTAAAGGTATTTGTAAAGATTTTTTGAAGTCAAATTTATATTTTGCCGTCCTGGACGGTAAATGGAACTCCAGGTCTGTTTAATGAATGTTTCATTTAAATTCGTTTTATTATAAACTCAATACCAAAGCTCTTCATAACTTTGCCTGGGCAAGGTCGAGTAAAACTTGCTGGTAATAATCAAATATTGTGAATAAAAGTATAATTTTGTAGCCTTATAATAAGTTCATAAATGTATGTATTTTCTTTATTTAATGCAGATGTACGCGATTACACGTCAAGCGAATTTACTGAACCGTCTGGGCGATCTGGAATGCCTCATATTGCTCGTGTCCTGCATTTGCCATGACCTCGATCATCCTGGGTATAACAACATATATCAGATCAATGCACGCACCGAACTGGCGCTCAGGTAAGACCTTGTCCTGAATCTGCTATAAATATATATATATATATATATATATATGTATATATATATATATATATGTTTTTCGTTTTGTTTTTACAGATATAATGACATCTCGCCGTTGGAGAATCATCATTGCTCGATTGCATTCCGCCTGCTGGAGCATCCCGAGTGCAATATATTCAAGAACTTTAGCCGGGACACATTCAAGTGAGTAACACCTGCAAATTGGTAGCACTTTAAGCCCTGCTATTTGGGTCACACCATGCGGCCGGGAGCGGTCGGGTGAGGTGAGTGTAAGGGCTGGGGCCGGGCTGGGGCCGGGCTGGGTCGATTCGGGCTGCTAGCCATTTAATTGCCAACTTTGCTTGACTCTATTTTATGCGCGGCACGTACAAAATGATGTTGCATTAAACGTCGGCCCCGTTTGCCGGGGCACTAATTAACACCCAACATGGGGCAACAGCTGCAGCCGCGTGGGGCAAGTCTGCCGCCTGGTCCGCGAGCGTATCGATTTGGTGCAGGCAACTCTCGACGGCTGTCCTTGCTTATTGCACTGTGCAATTGTACGCAGGACCCTTCTTCGGCTATTCTTGCACTCGTAACGACCCAAGTCGCGTGGGAATCAAAACACAAACAACAAACAAAGCCCTAACGCCCACAAATTGAAGTCAAACTGCTTTTACAAACAATATACTGAAACATTTTTCGATTGTCAATTGCTAAGCGCATGACAAGAAATGTCATTTGATACAAAAATAAATTGCGAAAATGTTTTGAAAATAGAAGAAAATTCAAGCAAATAATATGAAGCTCTTTCATAACCTGAACCTATTGAATATGAGTAAAAGCTGGCATTGTTATCTTGTGCAAGTGCATTCATGTAACAGGCGGCGGCAGGCGGTCTGTAAAGAGAAATAAACATATATATAAATATACATATACGCAATCTAACTAAATCCGTCTGTCTGTCTGCCTGTTTCTCGATCTCAGAGACTATAAGGGCTAGAGACTTGCAATTTGGTACACAGCTTCTGCTGTTGATTGTTTAAATCAAGTTTATCTCAATTGATCGATACCACGCCCTGTTTCGATAAGTATCGATTCGAAGATTAGAAACTTATAAAATCAAGGAACAACCATTTCTCGTATTGTGTAAACAGATCAGAAATATTTTAGTTTCAGGGAGAAGGGATCTTCCTCAAATTGATTAAAACGCGTTTTTTTAATTTACACAATCAAATGCCACAGATACTGTTTGAGTATGACTGATACCAATTGATACAGTTTTGAAGCTTTTCCATTGAGATAGGCCCTTTCGCCATAGGCTCCGATTCATGATTTGCGACTAGGATTCTCTCTCTCCCACTCTCTCTCTCTCTCTTTCTCTCCCTCTGTCTAATAATTTCTTCAAACCCATTGTAAATCATATTACTTATTGCTCGCCAGTCTGTGTCGCCTTTGAAATGCGAATAGCATTGAACATATAATTCTTTGAAATATGAATGCCTACAAATATTTCACTTTGAGTCAAGAATTCAACCACACAAACACACACGCACACACACGCATACACATCTCCCACGCAAAAAAGATATCTCACTATTTAGTCCCACGCGTTGTTTCCTTATCGATAAATACTAATTGCTTTATGCATAAGGGCTTAATTCTCACATTCGAACTGAATATTAATCCCATATAAGTTCCCTGTCGCATTCGAAATGCAAATTGCATTCAATGGTTGACAGTAAATTCTAGGAAATACAAATCCCCAGCAAATAATTCCCTTGAAATATTTTCACAAACGTACAGAGTTTGCTTTCTGGGAAATTTCATCCAAATTTCCAATATATCAACTCAGTATGCATTGTTTTTGTTCCATGAAGTGAAATTAGAACTCTACTGAGGCATTTTCTTACACGCCTTCAAACTAAGGATTTGCTTTTATTTCTTTACCCTTTATTCATAGAGAACATTGCAAGTGTAGAAAACAGGCAGCAGGAGGCTTTTCCTAAATTAATTGTGTAATTTCTGGATAAGGTCTACGCGTTGAATCGATTAAGTCATATTCCTCTGTTTGCCTATATGATGCCTGAAACTACAAAACAAGAGGCTTGAAACTTAAAGAACATATATTCTCGTGTGTCAAACACCGAACAAGTTTATACTTTGCGATATTTTTACCCATTTCATTAATATCAATAACTATCGTCTTTATTAGTCTAGTCTATTAGTCTAAGGCTTAGCTCAGAGGGTAAGGAGCTAGGCACTCCAAATTGAATACGCAACTGCTTGACATAGACAAAGACATAGACATTATATCACTTTTTGGATAATTCCCCAGGAATTGATTCCAAAAAAAATTAAAGATATACTTTTGCTTCTTTGGTCTTATTTAGAACCTAAAAATTGGAAGGAAATCGGACTTTTAGCACCGAAACTGTTCGTATAGAATGACAGCTTGATGAAGCAGAAGCCCAATCGCTTCAGATTGTTAGTGTTAAGAGGAAAGTTGGAATGCTTGTAACGGCAGCACGACGCTGGCTGCGGAGTATCTTTTGGTCGGGCACACCCAATTAGAGCAGTCCCAGTTGCTTTGCTTGTGATTAATTTGCGTTATTCTTGCGGTGGATATATAAAGCGTAGTTTCTGTACTCATTGCAACGCATTTATATTGCAAAATTCCGCAAACATTAATTAAGTGGATTAGCTGGGGGAAAATGTTTTTAACTTTGAATTGCGCGCTCACGTAGGCGGCGGCGTTGTGAAAGCTAAAATAGGTAACGCGAGGGCCATCATTATTTCCAACATTATGCCCATCAGCATCATCATCCTCCGCCTCCTCCTCCTCATTATGATCATAATCATCATCATCATCATCAACAAGACCGGGCAGAGAAGCTGGAGTAGCTGGAATGCCCTGAAGACAAACACCGCACTGCGTGGCCCCTCATCAACTCCGACTTTGGCACGTTGGGCGCCATCAGGAGAGTCTCACGTTGGGCGCCTTCGCGATGTTTTGCTGCCAAGTTTGCGTGCATAAACTGCTGCATGCTTTTGGGAGTTTTTGATGGCAAAACTTGCCAGAAATGCACATGCACAATATGCTTGTAAATGCCATGAAGCAGCCCCCGCCAAGAGTGCCAAGAAGTTGCCACACGATGCCACACGATACTTTTTGCCTTCTTGTACTTGTCTAAGCGTGCATAAACATGCATGTAGTCAACGTCATATATGTGGATTCTGTTATATACTTCTCTCCCTCTCCCTCTCTCTCTCTCTCTCTCTCTGTGTGTGCTTGTGGTGCTATTGCTCTTATTACCATGTTGCCATAAAATATCAGGAGTTGAGAAACGCTTGACGAATCGTGTTGCTTTTCTCAGTCTTCAGACTTGTGCGTCATTCAAATGCACTTAAATGTCATTTGTAAACAATGACACAATTGCGGGATTTCCAACACCAAATGACTTGTGGCTGAGAAAGCTGTTGCTCTTATCAAGACTTCTCAGCTTAAAGGACATAAGCCATCAGAATGGGTGAAACAAGGCACGCCAAGCATTAAATACTCTTATCACATGCCTGCCGGCTCTGCAGATACATATGTGAGAAATGTTGTGTAGCGCATAATTATGATTTATTGAATAAGAGAATAACTTTGCATACAAAAACTGATTTCATGACCAATTATTCCTCTGGCAGCTATATAATATACTGGTTCGATCCGTCCGAGGGAATGACTATCTTATATAGCTGCCATATAAACCATCATTAGGTGAACAATTACTTGAGCCTGAGTTTTTGATGCTACGCTTATCAGTGTTGGAAAAGAGTGTGAAATGTCATTTCCCATTGTCAGCTCTATGAATTTAGATATTTAGTTGTGCCTCTTCATTTGAGATTCAAGAATTAGGTCATGCATGCATATTCCAGTGTTGCTTAGGACTGGAAAATGCCAATTATATATTTCGATTCTTTTCAACACTGCACTATGTGCCTACCGAGGGATTTACCTCTACCTGTAACCATAGTTCTGAAAGTAAAAGACAGGTAATGGACGCTCCACACACATTGCTGTAATCCGTGTTTATGTGCGTGTGTGTGTGTGTGTGTGTGTGTTTACCGCACTTTGTGGCACAACAAGTCGTGAATGCGCTGTAATGAGATGCCGCGCCAATCGAGTACACTCAAGAGCTTTCATTTCAATTTCAATTTCATTGCTTTACTCAGATTTGAAACACATCCCATTGACGTTACCTCAGCTTTGCCCATGTCCCTGTCCCTGTCCCTGTCGCCCCTGCCCAGGTCTGTCGCTGGTTACCAAATGCGACACTTGTCCGGCGGATGCATCAGGCTGCCCACCTTGCAGTCAAAGGTCTCAGCGAATTCCGGGAAGTTGCCCAGCACATTGTTGACACGCTCCCGGTGCGAGGCATGCTGCTGTGCACCGGCAGAGGGTGCCACCGCCTGTCCACACCAGTTTTGCGCAAAGGCCACAAAGAACTGACGCATCGAGGCATTGGCCGGCTGCTGCTGCCGATACGCCTCGTAGGCCAAGCGCAATCCCTCGCTGTCCGCAATATTCTCATTGATGGTCAACGTCGCATTGCTGTAGCGCGACCCCAAATAGCAGCCGGCACGCAGGCCGAAGCGAATGATGGCACGCGCTGGCCACTGCCCGCCGGCCACACGTCCGGCTGCATCATAATTGATGCCATCATAGTCGAAGCCGTGGATTAGCTCGTGGCCGAGCATATAGCCCAGGCCGCCCAGCAGGCGGGCCTGCGATTTCGCATCCGCATCCGCATCCGGCTGCGTCTGCGTTTGCCCGGAATCATCTCGACCAGCATTTACCTCGCAGCTGCGGCTACTGCTGCTGGGCAGGAGGGGCGGGCGCAGCAGCCCCAGCGGCAGCTCAATCGCATTTAGCTTCAGCCTATAGTACACGTTCACATCCAGTGGACCGAGGGCGTGGCCCGCCCATGTTGCGTACGACTCGCAGGGCAACTGCAGGCAGCCCAGCGCCAGCTGAAACTGCGCATCCGACTCCGCCTGCGACAAATGCAACAGATTCGCATCGTAGTTGTTCGATTGAAGCTCGCGTTGTGCCTTCCCTTCTTGTCGCTGCTCCAACTGCTCTGGCGACGGCGGCGGCGGTAGCAGCAGCCGCATTGCGCGCAGCTTTTGCAGCGCCAGAGTTTGTGTGGCGGCGT